TCTATCTATCTATCTATCTATCTATCTATCTATCTATCTATCTATCTATCTATCTATCTATCTATCTATCTATCTATCTATCTATCTATCTATCTATCTATCTATCTATCTATCTATCTATCTATCTATCTATCTATCTATCTATCTATCTATCTATCTATCTATCTATAATATGCAGTTTTATTTATCTAATTGTGTTATGAACTGCTTAGCTATGTCTGACTAGTTTACGTTTAAATAGGTTAGAGTGATTAGCCCCAACTATAGGATTGCTAGTTGTGGTATTCATTAATAGGATGTTCTTAACGCTCATGATTCTAGAGTAGCTAACTAGAAGCATTGAATCTTGGATTACTTAGGTTGGATTAGAGACATTTAAGCAATTTTGATAATCCTGAACACATCCCTGTTAAGCTAGGATTGCTAGAAATACAGCGACAGTTTGATCTGGAAGTCTTTAGTGAGTCTTTTTTAACTTGCATGTAATGCTTGACCGGACTCATCAATCGATATTCCGACATGAAATCGATCGATGATGAGTTTAGTGTATCGACCGATATTCTGACTGAATAATCGATCGACACTGTCAAGTACGACCTTCCGGTGATTAGACTTATTTATTCAAATGAGAGTTTAGTAGATTTGTTGATTAAGATAGTTAATGCTCTATAATACCTTGCAAGCAGCTGAATAGCTCCTATAGGATTATAATCCCAATGCCTGAATAAAAACCCTAAGTCTAGCACTTTTTCCATTTTAGTTTCAAAAATCTTTATTCCATTCTCGATTAAGTAATTTTCCTACTTAATTGGAATGTTTCTTGTTTGCTTGTTCACTGCTTTTACTATTTATATTCCCCTAGGATTATTGTTTGATTAGATTTAATAGGTTCTCTAGCTCCTTGTGAATTCAATACCCGAAGTACTGCAATAGACCTCTTATTTGAGAGAGTAAGTTGCTCCTTAAGAATAAACATTTGAGCAGACATCAAATTAGGCGCTGTTCCCGGGGAGCTTTGATAGCCTTTAGATTTAGTCTAATAATTCTATATTTATCTTTTTATATTTCTTTTATCATCTACTGATAAAATGTTTTCATGATTTTTCATGTGCATGCACAGCATAATCAGAAATAACAAGGAAAAACAGCTCTTATTTCCAGAAGACCCTGATAGTTTAGAACGTTCGATCCGCAAAAACCTATGTTCTGCATCGATTGACACTAACATATCTTCACCGACTGATTCTCATCAAACCCCAACCTTCCTTGCTTCATCATCGATCGACATAAACTAATCTTCGTCGACCGATTCTGATCACTTGACATCGATCGACACACGCTCAATGTACTTCAATCGATTCTCAGCCGCAAGACATGGTTGCATCTTTGATTCTTACCGCAGACGATAATGGAGATCTGTATGACTAGGAAGGTCATCTGCGTAATGCAACATGTCAAAAACTGGATACTCAGAGGAATGTAATCCCTGAACCTGATACTGATGAGGCCACTCGACCTATGACCTTGTCAGACTACAACCGTCCAGATCAGTACTACGCCAACAAGTCAGCAGTTCGTCTCCCAGACGTTCAGAGGGAGAATTTCAAGTTGAAGCCCCAGTACTATACACTTGTGGCACAGATACCCTACTGTGGGTTGCTACATGAGCATCCTATTGACCATCTTGAGAGGTTCGAGGATCTCATTGCTGCTATTAGAGTTAAGGGAGTCCATGAGGACTACTTATTGTGTAAACTCTTCAAGTTCTCACTTGCTAGCGATGATGCACATTGGCTCAAGCAGCTACCACCAGGATCTCTTACGTCCTGGGCTGACATCAAGAATGCATTCATGCGCGATTTGTTTGAGGGACGAGCTGAAGAACTAAGGAGAAGGATTGCTACTTTCACATAGAAGCCTTGAGAGTCTTTAAATATTCTTGGCTTAGATTTAACTTCTTCCAGCGCGATTGTCCGCAGCATGGATTTAATGAAGTTCAGCTGTTTAGTTTTTTCTTTAAAGGAATCGCTTTGAAGTATCAGATGGCTCTGGATACAGTGAACGATGGAAGCTTTAACACCAGAAATCTGGAGGAAGCTGTTAGACTTATCGAGAACTTGGCGAACAGCAGTAGCATCAAAAATACTGATTTGAAAGGAGAAAATCTGTAGCATTCCTTGAGAATGAACAGTTAGATGAGGTAAAAGCTCAGTTAGACAATGTCAACAAGCTACTTATGAGACATGTTTGCTCAGCTGAACAGCAGCAGCATCAAGAATATTGATTCTGAAAATAGAAAATCTATAACATTCTTTGGGAAGGAACAGTTAGATGAGGTAAAAGCTCAGTTAGACAATGTCAACAAACTACTAATAATAATCAAACCGATTATACATATTCCAATAAATATAACATGCTTCTTTGTAGGTACCTCATTAAACATTTTAATAAGACATTATCATATTTATCACGCATATTGGTTTTGTCTTATACCTATATATTGTAATTCTCAATATTGATCATAGCGTAGAAATAGACAACTGTTAAACAAAATATTCTTTATAGTATTATATTATTATAGTTTATTCCTTAATATTTATACTAATAAATAAAACTTTACAAACCCATGTAAATAATCAATTTTAAAAATATATTAAATAAAAATGGTTTTCAAATATGTTATTTCATGTATATTTAATTTAATTATATCTATATGTCAATGCAACAGTTAGATAAATAAATAAAATTACTAATCTAATTGACAGTTAGGTAAATAAATAAAAAAATGTACTCATATAAAGAAAAACTTTTGTTTATAAATCAACCTATTCGGGTTCGGTAGAGGGTCTATTCAGGTTTCGGATTTTCGGGGTCAAAGATTTCAGTCCCGTTCAAATATTTATAAATTTTGGGTAGGGTTCGGTTCAGATTTTTGCGGGTTTGGCTCGGATTTGGATAATCCATTTAAATTATTTTTAAATTTGTAAAATAACATATGACAAAATATCTAAAACTAACATATAAATTGGTAGATAGTGAGATTGGTTTTAGGGCTCAACGGTGAAAGGCGTATTTCGTCGAATGAGAGCAAGGATCAGCGTCGAGGCGGATCTCAGGATCTGATTTACTTTCGATGTCTCTTCCTAACGGGATCTGGATTTAATTGGAATATGGTTTATTGGGATTTCAATGGTTTAAAGTTGGGTGTATGTGTGAGGAGATCGCCAAATCAAAGGTTTGATTATGCTTTCCTTAAAGCGATTTTTAGTGATCTGGTGGGGATAGACATATCTCTAACTAGTTTTTTATGGGAGATTCGTTGGGAGGATTCTTGTTTGAGATTCAGCTTTCCCTATACCTACAATCTGAATTTCGGGAAATTTTTTAGGATTTGCAAACATTATTTTTCATAGCTCTGGGATTATGATCTATTATATTCTGGAATTTTGTTTCCAAATACATATCTTTATGATTCTGTTTGCAAGGTGTAATCAATTTGAGTATCTTTTATTGCTTGGAATAGATCAATCAAAGGATTACTGGTTATAGTATTTATAAGCTATTGGGTTCCGAATTTTAAAACAGTACAACACTTCTCATTGAGTTTTTTCATATCAATTTATGTTCCTGATATTGTTCTTGGTGCTGTTTTTTTCTGTTTGTGATGGCTCAGTCACAATGGTTAACAAAGTCTGGAGGAAATATGGTGGAGGGGGCAAAACCAAAGCTGAAGATCGTGGTGCCTCGGTTTGATAATACTGAGTGGATAGCCCAGTATGCAAATACGGTGATTAGACGGTGTATGAATCCACCAAAGCAGGAGATGAGGAATCTTCTCTTTATGTTACCAAGGTTTTGGAATGTGGAAGGAAGGGTGATTGGTTATGATTTGGGTTCGGGACGTTTCCGGTTTGATTTTGACCAGGAGGAGGACATAATTGAGGTGTTGAAAATGGAGCCCTTCCATTTCGATCATTGGATGGTCTCGCTGGTGCGGTGGAAGCCAGTCTTGGAGTCCAACTTTCCCTCCAAGATTACTTTTTGGGTTCGGGTATTGGATGTTCCTATGCAGTTCTGGATGGCTTCTACTTTCAAAGGTGTTGGTGATTCTCTTGGTCTGGTTAAAGGCGATGGGATTTGAGGGAAGGTAGAGTGAGAGTGTAATTAGATGGTTTTAAACCGCTGGTGTTCTCCATGGATGTGAACTTTGATGAGGGAGTGGAACTCGAGGTGAACCTGCGATATGAGAGGTTGGTAGGATACTGTCGGTATGTTGTTGTATGACACATGACCAGTCGAGATGTCCCACCAAGGTGGCAGAGATGGAAACTAAGGAACTCGAGGTCTCGAAACCTGAGCAAGGTCATCAAGCTCAGAGTTACAAAGGAGCTTTGGAAACTGAAGGTGAAGCTTCTAAGGTTCAGGAAGGTGGAGAGGAGTTTCGAAACAAACGTAAGGGAATATCTAAGGAAAGACAAGGGCCATATAAGGAAGCAGGATCCTTTCGACAAGGCGGGGTTAACTGAGGTTATAAGGCGTGTAATTCTCGGGGATATGGAGAAGGATCATCTCGCCATGGTGTACAGTCTGGTTACGCGATTAGAACTAGAGGTTTACGGCATTTGAGAAATGGTAATGGAGAAAATCTGAGTAACCCTCAAAAACTCATGATGGACGCATTTAAGGGTGGGAAACAAGTTACACATCATGGTCAGAAATTCCAGCAGAAGATGGAGATTGATGTAGTTAAAGGAGCTAGGAAATCTCTTAATTTTGATGAGTCAGCTGCACTGGTAGGGTTGAGGACCCACAAAAGAGTTCTGGTGTTAGTGCAGGTATGGAGAGCCAAAAGGAGTTGGAGAACGAACGGATTGATAAGGTAAGGGAAAACATGGAAACTGATTGTGGGGAGGATGTGCAAATTTCATTTCCTGAGGACACTAATCTAGACGAAAAAGAAGCTTTGTTATCGGATTCAGAACTCGTTGATGAGGATTGGGAGGATGGAGAAGTGCCAGAGTTTGTGGGAGAGATGGAGGAGACTCATGTTGCTGCAGAGCCGATGAAGAAGGAAAACAATGAGATCACCATGGTTGTCACTACGGAAACAAAGGAAGCCGGTGCTAAGTTGCTAAAGAAAAAAGGCACAAGGAAAGGGACTCGGCTCGTCCATAATCTCCTATCTCCGCGGAAGAAAAAGATAATCAAGCCGGCAGGAAAGACTGGTGATGGTAAGAAGGTTGGAAACAAACCTTAAGGTAATTGTTTGTGGGGATCGATTAAGAAGCAGTACCCTGTTTTTATTTTCCAAAATTTAAATTTCAATAATGTCGGATTATCTTATAAAATCCAGGAGCGTTCTGTTAGTTTCTATTGGTTTCTCTTATTGCTTAGCTTTGATGTGTTATCAAAGATTTTCAATAGTTGACCCAAAATGTAGGGTCTATATGTTTCCTTTGTTTCTTAATAAAACAATTAAGCTATGTTCCTTTTCTGATTCTCTGTTTGAAAATGTTGGTGGTTTATTAGGGCTGTTTTCGTCTTCAATATTTTTAAATTGAATCCCAAGTTATATCGGTTTATGTGTTTATATAGGCTGGTGTGGATATGGTGTATGAATTCTTCTAGGTTCCGGACGTATCATCTGGTTATGAATGGCTTTGGTAACTGTTGGAATCGATCCAATATTTTATGGCGCATATGCCATCATTGGGTGATGGATTATGTAGGAAACATGTGTTATAGTTGGTTTGAGGTTACATTTTGGTGTTGGCATTTTTATTTTGTGATACAATGTTGGCGATTTAATTGGGACAAGGAGAGCAATATATTGGAGAATATAAGTATGCTGTTTAAATCCTCGATCCTAAAGTGGATACTAGGGGTGGTATCAAGTTTTGTTTCTTGGTTGTTACACAAGCATAGGTTTGATCATGTCAATTTTGGGATTTTCGGGGAAGCTATGAGGATGTTTGGTTTAGGATGCTGGTTACGTTGGAAGAAGGAGATGATGTGGGAAGATGAGAACAAACAAGCTGAGATCATGGTCTTATCTAATTCCCACACGGAATGTATCAGGTTGTTTGATTCTGATTTGATGCAAAGAGTGTTTTGGTTCAGAGATTTGGTCAATTTTTCATGTTGACTACAAGGTTTGGAATTTCTGGTTCAGAGGGATCATTTATTTAAATTTTCTCCGAAAATTTAGTGACTGTGCTTTTGAAATTACCTTACTTATTTTGTTGAATATATCTTTATATAAGATTCAAAGTTGGACTACAAATGGCTCACTACAAGAAATATGGGTTTTATTAGCGGACGTTAAATGCTATGAGATTGCTATCATAGCGCTCTTTAAAACGCTCTGAGATCGCCCGTCATAATAGGTCTGACACTTTCGATAGCGGAACAGCCGTATGCTATATTAAAATAAAGACCAATAGCGGTGTTGTCTATGCAATTGTTAATACTTTTAATAAGGCTGTAAAACCGTTATTAAAACTAATTATTTTGATTTTACGTATACAAAGATAGCAAATGTTTCGCGTTATTAATCTGTACTTTAATATCAGAAATTTTAATAAAATTAATTACAATTTGGTTTTATTTTTGAAATTTTAAATATTTATTTCAAATATTTGTAATAAAAATAATTAGTGATATTATTAAAGCTAAAATATGTTTTAACAAACAAAACATATCCTCTTTTACATAAACCATCAAACCACAACACTTCCAAATACTATCAATCTACCACTAACAACCCTTCACAATCATCCCTAACATAAAGACTCTCATCATCAGAAGCTTCACCAGCCAAGTCATCGATATCTTGTATAGGCAAAGGTGCACCACCTAAATCCTCTACTGTTTCCAACTCATGGTAACCTCTAGGTGGAGCTCTCATCACAACATACCAATTCGAATTATCATCTTCCCTAGAGTAGAAAACCTGTTTGGCTTGAGATGGTAGAATGAATGGATATTTCAAATAGGCTGCTTGGTTCATGTGAAGGTTAACAAGAGTGAAGCCATCTTCTTCCTTCACACCATTACCTGTGTTGGCCCAGGTGCATCTAAACAGTGGCACTTGGAACATGTGATAGTCCATAAGTAATATATCTTTTATCACTCCATAATATGTAAGCATATCCGCAACTTGTCTCATATCTCGAGCATTCGATCTACACATACTAAATGCTTCATAAGTTACTCCACTGTTTTGTGTCTTTCGCTTCACCGCATCTGTATGAAACCTTTGACCATTAATGATGAATCCTTTATGTGCTACAGCAACATTTCTTGGTCCAAATGCCAACCACCTTAACTCCTTAGAATGGCCATTTGTAGATTCTGAAGTAATCTGCAGCAAGAAATCAGATATGATCATTTAACTATCAAGATCTGTACACTTCGAGAATCGCAAAACACAGTCACTAAACTAAAGTACTAACATGATAACGAAAATATTATCAAGAAGCTAACAATCTGTACCAACACAACATCCATCCACAAGCTAACTAGTCATCAAATAATAAAATCAATATGCTCATCAATCAAACAAGAAACAATTCAGAATTGAAAACCTTATCTTTAACCCATTGGACAAATTGCTCAGTGTGGGTTTTCCACAGTAAGGTTTCATTTCTGGCACATCGAGCATCATTAGCTTGTAATTCTTCCAAATGCATCCTGATTTTGACATTATGAAAATATAATAATCAGGATGAAAATATAATAAGCAGTAGATGAAACAGAAATGGTAAACTCTTACTCAACATATGGCTCCATTGATGCCATATTCATTAGCACATAGCGATGTGCAATGTCTCTATCTTTATCTGAAAGAATAACATCTACACCCTTCTGCAGAGGTCGACCTTCAACCACGACTCTATCAGCCTCAATATCTTCATTGCGATTAATAGTTTCCTTAACCGGTACTGAATCTTGAAGGAACACTAAACAGAAAGCAACGCATTCTCCAGCTAAATAACCCTCAGCCATACATGCTTCTGGCCTAGCATGATTCTTGACAAAAGCCTTTAGTGTTTTCATGTACCTATAACTCAGTAAAAAAATATGAATATTAGCCAAACATCATTCAAGTTTGTATGTACATAATATGAATATTAGCCAAACATCATTCAAGTTTGTATGTACATAATATGAATATGAGTACATCAAACCTTTCAAATGGATACATCCAACGAAAGTGTACTGGTCCTCCTAAACGTGCCTCTTTCGCAAGATGGATTGGAAGGTGGAACATGATATCAAAAAGAGATGGAGGGAAGAAGCGCTCCAGTTGACACATTGTTTCCACAAAATCTGTCTCCAATGCTATGAGTTTCTCCGGGTCGATGACACGCTNCAAATGGATACATCCAACGAAAGTGTACTGGTCCTCCTAAACGTGCCTCTTTCGCAAGATGGATTGGAAGGTGGAACATGATATCAAAAAGAGATGGAGGGAAGAAGCGCTCCAGTTGACACATTGTTTCCACAAAATCTGTCTCCAATGCTATGAGTTTCTCCGGGTCGATGACACGCTGACACAACCTGTTGAAATAACTACACAATCTATTAATGGAAATCCGGGGACCCCTATGTAAGAGCCCTCTTAATGCAGCTGGTAATAAGTTTTGCACAAGCACATGATGATCATGCGACTTTAAACTGCCAATATTTGGAGGGTTAACTGAAACACTATTAGCAATATTACCAGTACAATAACCATCAGGACCTCTAAATTTAGAGAACCTTTGGCAGAAAATGGTCTTCTCTTTCTTGGATAACCAATAGGCTGCTGGAGGTAAGTATGTTTTCTTTACCCTAAGCTCTGTGTGCAAGTCCTTTCGGATTCCAATATCTTCTAAGTCTTTCCTTGATTTCAAACCATCTTTTGACTTTGAACTTTGCATCATGATAGAGAATATAGCATCTGAGACATTCTTCTCCACGTGCATAACATCAATATTGTGTCTAACAGGGAGATCCTAACACGTTAAAGCAGAAAATCTCAGACATATTCACAAAATGTCAGACATATAAGACATAATCAGAAAATATACTTTACCTTCCAGTAAGGTAGTTGAAAGAATATTGACCTCTTCTTCCACCGCCACAGATCATTTGATTCGTCACACTCATCTTCTTGAACCATATCATCATTTTCGAAGTCTGTTCTTTTTCTTTTATTTTCCTTATCTAGAGGTCTTCCAAAATCATTCCTAAACGCTTGTAGTGTCTCATATATTTCGGCACCAGTTTGTATCCTCTTTGCATTCCCTTCCTCAACAGTGTTCTCAAACCAAGCTTTTTTATATCTGTAATGATGGCCAGGCGGTAGTCTCTTTCTATTCCCCATGTAGACAAACTTCCTGCTAAACTTAAGCCACCTACATGGTGTATCCTTTCCACATACATTGCAGGCTTGTTTCCCCTTCACTTTACATCCAGACAATGTTCCTAAGGCTGGATAGTCACTGATACTCCAAAGCAGCANGTGTATCCTTTCCACATACATTGCAGGCTTGTTTCCCCTTCACTTTACATCCAGACAATGTTCCTAAGGCTGGATAGTCACTGATACTCCAAAGCAGCAAGGCTTTAAGTGTAAATGT